TCCTCAATACAGCTTAGACAGGGACTACTCTGGCAGAGCTTAAATGGACCCATGGGCTGGGGGTCCAGGTGAAGCTGGTCAGGGCCATTAAAGCCTATTAGTGCCCTGACACCCTGTGTAGGTCCTGCCCCCGTGCAGCCCCAGCCTGCAGTAGGGAGCTTTTGGTGGCTCATCTGGCCTTGTTCACCCACCATAGGCCTGAGTGCTCAGGAGGGGGTCTGGGTGCTGGGGGACATTAAGGACCTGTTTGTAAGGCTGCTCTATGGGTACCTGCAGGAGCTGGATTCCTTGCAGACCTTTCTCAAGCCACCCACTAGCCCTGCTGTGGCTTCACAGCTCTGCTCTGTGAGTCTTGTCTGAGCAAAGCAGCAGCCCCACTGCAGCAGGGAGCACAAGGAAGACCCTGTCCTACCCTCCCCAGCGTGCCAGGGAGCCTTTGCCCATCCCAGCATGGCTGGGATGAGCAGGGACAGTGCAGGGCTGATGGGAACAGGCAGCAGATCTGTTCTGCATTGCTCCAGCCTCTGCTGCTTTCTCTGCCAGGAGCAGAAGGGCAGGCCCATGGGCTCCGCTTACACCTGGGTGCAAGGTCCAGCTCAGCACTCATCCTCCCCCAGTGCTCCTCCAAATAAGCCCCTGGACTCTGGGTGCTGCCACTGATCCTCACATCACCCATGGCTGCTCGGTGCTGCACCATCCAGGCACAGAGCAGGCAGGAGAAGCTGCAGCTGCTGGGCCCTGCCATGGGAATGGGCTTTCCTGGGAAGTCTCCTTCCTCTATCTGCCCAGCAGCGAGTGGGCAGCAGGGCCCCAGCAGGCAGCAGGGCCCCTTCCCCATGCCATGTGGGCTGGTCACATAGATGGGAAAACCCACCCTGCATTGCCAGGTTATTGGCTGCATCACCCACTCAGCAACACTGCTGCACCCAGGTGTGCTGGGGGTCCTCAAATACCCCACCTGTGCTCAGGTTGGGCTGCTGGGGCTCTTCCATCCCATACTTTTAGGGACTAAACTGAGCTGAAAGCAGCCACTGCAAACCCAGCACCAGCCCAGTGGAGGCTGACCTGATAGCCGGGCTCCCAGGAGCAAGGCTCGGACCAGGAATGCTGCACAGGGCTGGTGGGAGACCAGGACCAAGCACTCCCCAGTCAAACCTCTCCCTACCTCATCTTCTGGCCCATTGGGTGCTGCTGCATTGTGCCTGTCCCTCTCCAGTTGTGGCTGCATTTCAGCAGCAGTGAATTGCTGGTAATGAACCTTTGAGACCAAAGATGCTCATATCCAAACCCAGAATGTGCTCACTGGCCTTTAAAGGCCAGACTAAGCTTCTGAGGGAACAGAACTTCAATTTTCTGTAGCTCTAATTTGAAACCACTTTAATGCTCATTAAGATAGAGAGACCCGAGCAGCTTGTGCAGGCTGGAGGACAGCGAGGGGAAGAAAGAAGTTATTATTGACATTTCAGTTTAGGTCTTTATTCTACCCAGAGCTCCCCACTTCTGGCCAGCAGCTTTGAGTAATGCTATTGTTAGCACCAGGATTGTAATTCTAATGTCCTTTTTATAGCTGGCTTGGGAAAAAGAAATCCTGAAGGCCTTGAATGATTTCAAAGTAATGGAATTTATAGTGATAAAAAGAGATCTGAACACAGAGAAACCTGCAAGCTCCTCTGCCGTTGCTCCCTGTCATGGGTGGTCACAATGCTCACCCTCCCTGGGTGTTCCCGTCTGCAGCAGGGTGCTCAGCGGTGGGGGGTGAAGGAAGGGACCACAGTGGATGCCTGGTCCTTGTGTGCCCCAGCTCGGCAGCACACTGGAGCCATCTGCCAGAACCACTTGGCCATCAGTCAGGTCACAGCCCTGGGAATGACTGCCCCAAGGGATAACACACGCCTGGGCAGCTCTGTGCTCCTGGCAGAGGGATGGGATGGGTATGGGAAAGAGCCCAAAGTCTCATGAGACCCCCCTACAGCCCTGATCCAGCTCTGGGGCAGCAGCACCAGAGGGACGTGGAGCTGTTGGAGTGAGGCCAGAGGAGGCCATGGAGATGCTGCGAGGGCTGGAGCAGCTCTGCTCTGGAGCCAGGCTGAGAGAGCTGGGCTGGGGCAGCCTGGAGAAGAGAAGGCTCCTGAAGGGGAGACCTTAGAGCAGCTCCAGTGCCTAAAGGGGCTGCAGGAAAGCTGGAGAGGGGCTTGGGACAAGGGCCTGTAGGGACAGGCCAAGGGGAATGGCTTGAACCTGCCCGAGGGGAGACTGAGCTGAGCTCTTAGGCAGAAGCTCTTCCCTGTGAGGGTGCTGAGGCGCTGGCACAGGGTGCCCAGAGAAGCTGTGGCTGCCCCATCCCTGGCAGTGTTCAAGGCCAGGTTGGACACAGGGGCTTGGAGCAAGCTGCTCCAGTGGAAGGGGTCCCTGCCCGTGGCAGGGGTTGGAGCTGGAGGAGCTTTAAGGTCCCTGCCAACCCAAACCAGGCTCTATTCTATGGTTATTTGCCGCTGTCTGTGAGTGCTGGTGTGGGCGCACAGCATCGGGTGAAGGTGGGGGCGTCTGTGCAGCGGGCGAAGGCTCAGGGTGGGCCTGGAGCAGGTGGGAGTTCAGAACAGGAGCTGGTGCTGAAGAACCCCCGGCACCGCTCACCCAAAGCTCTTTCAGGAACCAGATGCCACCCGCCCCGGCCGCTCGCTGTTACTCGCGGCTGCGCCTGCGGAGGGCAGCAATCCCCAGGGAAGCGCCTGCAGATCCCGATCCCTTCTCGCTCCCGTTCCCAGCGCCACCTCCCTGCGGTGCTTCCCCGGGAAAGCCCTGGGGATGGTTACCTGCAGTGGTCCCGGATGGAGCGATGCCACCGAGGGTCCCACCACTGCTCCCACGCATCCCGGTCCAGCCTGGAGCACTGGAGCACCTCCTCCCGGCACTGTGCAACCCTCGGATGGGGATGGACGAACTGTCCCCTCACCATGGTCTCAAGCGCCAGCCTGAGGGCTGTCTGAGCCCAGCAACCCACCCGCCTTCAACAGGGGTGAACACAGCAAGATTATAAGCAAAGCTGTTGTGGGAAGTTGCTGGTGTCCTCGTTTCGCCTGTGCTGCAGGCCCTGGGGGGGGGAATCACTCCTGCCTTAGGAAAAAGAAACCCAGGACATATGGTTTCTGGCCTGTTTTGACCTCAGAAAGTACAAGCAAGAGGATTTTTGTTCTGGCAAAGGAGAGGATGAGAGTGCCCAAGCACGCAGCAACTCCAGGGACTGGGCAGCAGCATCCCCAGAGAACAGCGGCCATGCCCTGCATCTCCCCTGGAGCCCCGCTGTCATTCCCTGCAGAGGAGGGTCCTTCCTCAGAGGGGAACTGCAGGGTGAGATCCAGGAACAGGTACCAAGTGTTTGAAGGTACCATGGTGCTGTGTCTGGTCAAAGACATTTGCAGTGTGGATTCACATGATCCCCCAGATTTAGCAGGGGCTGCACAACACAGTGTGATGAAAGCTGAAGTCCTTTAAGCCACTGGTACAGCCCAGGAAACAAACATGCATCTTCCTGCTCCAGATTTAGCACTTTATTGATTTTCCAGCTGCATCCATCAGTCATTGTCCCAGGGCTCAAATTACCCATTAAAGACATCATAGAAATGAGAGGAGAAGAAGACACTGTTGTGGTATTGATGAAAAACATTAAACATCCCAAACAGCAATTAATGGAAGGAAAATGTGTCCTTCTTAGGGAGCGGATGGCTTACATTTGCTCTTGAACAACTCAGAGACACCACGGGCTCCTGGATGCTTGCAGCACGGCCCCCAGCCCCTGCTCCACTGGCAGCGCCGTGACCCACAGGAGGAACTTGGAGATCTGCATTTCAGCTTGTCACCTGCTTCAGATCCAGAGATAAACATCAAGCCAGTTTCTAAATCCTCATGACTGCACTGGAGCGGACAAACAAGTCCAGAGGAGGCCATGGAGATGCTGCGAGGGCTGGAGCAGCTCTGCTCTGGAGCCAGGCTGAGAGAGCTGGGCTGGGGCAGCCTGGAGAAGAGAAGGCTCCTGAAGGGGAGACCTTAGAGCAGCTCCAGTGCCTAAAGGGGCTGCAGGAAAGCTGGAGAGGGGCTTGGGACAAGGGCCTGTAGGGACAGGCCAAGGGGAATGGCTTGAACCTGCCCGAGGGGAGACTGAGCTGAGCTCTTAGGCAGAAGCTCTTCCCTGTGAGGGTGCTGAGGCGCTGGCACAGGGTGCCCAGAGAAGCTGTGGCTGCCCCATCCCTGTCAGTGCTCAAGGCCAGGTTGGACACAGGGGCTTGGAGCAAGCTGCTCCAGTGGAAGGGGTCCCTGCCTGTGGCAGGGGTTGGAGCTGGAGGAGCTTTAAGCTCCCTTCCAGCACAAACCAGGCTGGGATTCCATGAAGCTGTCCCCTGTCTGTTCATGCTGCTGCTTCCCTTCACCTGCAGGTAACCCCTCATGGCTCCTTCCTGCTCAAGGTGTCCCTGCAGTCAGAGCTGTCTGCTGTGATTGCAGCTAGCTCCTCCCCACACCTGTAGCATGGAGTGTCCTGAAGGACCAGGCCATTGGAGATGCTGTTGACACCACATCATCATTCAAATACCCTACCTGGGGGCTTTACTCCATGAATACAATCTAAGACCCCTCCTGCAAAGCGACTCCCACCCCAGGAGCTGCACCGTGTCTCTCTGTTCAGCACAGGGTCCAGCAAGAGGTATCTCAGGCTCTCCTCCCTCACCCAAAAGTGTCCCCAGAGGGGAGGGCTGCTGCTCACGGTGCCCAGCGCTGGATGTGCTGACTCAGCAGCGCACACCCTGTGTAAACCCAGCCAGCTGCTGCCCCTGTTTGCTCAGCCCGCGCCTCTCTGTTTGCTTTCGGGGATCACGATGGAAGGAGATGGCCTTTCAGCACCGGGAAATGGGGAAAGGCAGCTCCAGGCAGCTTCCCCGAGGATCCTCCAGTGAGACCCCAAATGCAGTCCCCCCTGGAGCTCAAGGAGCTACAGAACAACGCACCCCTTACAGCCCAACCCGGCTGCCAAGAGCCAGGAGAACTATTTATTATCATTTCCTTGCAACAGAGAGATGGAATAAAGCACCCACCCTCCCCAGGTGCCACCAGCAGCAGCTTCCACATAGGGATCTCTGTACATCCCAGCACAAAGTCCATTGGGAAAACCTCAATCCAAGTTTAAAAAACCCCTCCCCACATACAACCTAAAACCAGGAATCAGAAAAAAAAGGGGTTGAGAAAACAGGTTGCCCCCTCCCTCCTGCTATAAAATATTTATATATTTATATATTCCTAAGGCAACATTTCACAAGACCAGAAGCAAGGCTCCTACAGGGGCTGAGCTTGCAGCCCAGGACACCGCAGAGCACACATCCCATGTGAGAAGCTAGTGTAGAAACCAAAGCCTCCACCCGCCCCATGCCTCAGTGGTCAGCATAGTCCTTGGTCTCCACCCCGGTCTCGTTGAGCACCGTGGTCCTCATGATGGCCTCGGTGACCGCGTAGGGGTCGCAGTTGGCCGCTGGCCGCCGGTCCTCGAAGTACCCGTACCCGTCCTGGCCGACCTGGCGCGGGATGCGGATGCTGGCGCCTCGGTTGGCCACGCCGGCGGAGAACTCGAAGATGTTGGAGGTCTCGTGGTGGCCGGTGAGGCGCCGGGAGTTGTCCCTGCCGCCCCGCGGGTCGTACACGCAGATGTGGTAGTCGTGCCGCTTGCTCAGCTTCTCGATGGCAGCTTCGATGTGCCTGCGGGAGAGGAGAACAGGGATGGGTTTGTCAGCTGGTCCGTTTTGGGGGTGTTCCTATGGCCAGGAAGGCTGGTACCCCCTCCTCTGTGCACCTCTGTGATGTGGGCACCCCAGGGGACACTCTGACATGACCCAGACATGGTCTAGGGTGAGGTGTCCCTGCCCGTGGCAGGGGTTGGAACTGGATGATCTTAAGGTTCTTTCCAACCCAAACCATTCCATGATTCTATGACAGGCCCGGCCCTGCCTGGTGCAGCCACCCAGGCACACAGACTTACATTCTACACCCCAAACATCCCAGGAACCCCCCCCAGGACTCACTTGAGGCCCCCTTCTCTCCGCATCTCCTCAGTGCTGTAGTTGGTGTGACACCCGGCGCCGTTCCAGTTCCCGGTCATCGGTTTGGGGTCCAGAGTAGCCACAACCCCAAAGTCCTCACAGACGCGGTGCAGGATGAACCGAGCCATCCAGAGGTGATCCCCCATCTCAATGCCTTCACACGGGCCCACCTGGAATTCCCACTGGAAGGAGCAAGCAAGTACTAGTGAGGATGGGCAGGTTTGTGCCTCCCCATTCATCACATCCCTACAACCCCTCAGGGAGAGCTGTCAGCCTGAGCAACAGCCGAGTTTTTCTCTTGGGTATCAGCAACAGGGACGGGAAGCATGGAGGTAAGCAACAGGACAGCTTTGACATGCAAAAAACTCGGAATAAACAGCTAAAACTAGAGCAAATCAGAAGGGTATTAATCCAAATGGAGGTAAATAAACACCACTCCTGCCTTCGAGGCTGGTGCTGGAGCTGCTGGCATGAAGAATCCCCCAACCCACACTGCAGAGGGCTAAGGAGGAGCCCGTGAGTCCCCCCAGGGCTGTTCTGTCCCGGCTGGAGCTGGGGTTGCGCCATCCACAGTGACTAAGCAGCGGGTGACGCATTCATGGCTGCTGCCATGGCCTGGCCAGATGGAGCCCGGGGTGCAGGAAGCAGCCAAGAAGGACCCTGGAGAAGCCTGGGCAAACAGCAGGGTCGTTAGAAGCCCTGGCCCAGATAAGCCCCCGCTTATCACCACTGCATCAGGAGAGCCCGCGGCTCACAGGCTGAGGGGCCACGGCGCGTCCGTCAGTCTGCCCACCCGCCTAATGCAATCAGGGGCTCCTCCAGCTAACTCCTGACTGACCCCAGGTCCCCCCGGCTGCTTCCCAAGGCCATATCCCACCCGATCTTCCCAGCTCCCGGGATGGAGGAGCAGGATGCACCCACTGCTCCATGTGCTCTTCCCGCAGCCCATCCTGGCTCCCACTGTCCCCTGCACCCCTGCTCCATGGTGAAGGAGAGCACAGGGAAGCACCCAGCTCCACACTGGCTGCCACCTCTGTGAGGAGCTCGCCTGCGCTGTGCCTCAGCTGTGATTTCACTTGCCTGCCCCCCAGAAAGCAGGGATTTGCATATCAGGGTGAGTTAGGAGGACATCAAACACAGACATTTTCATCCTATCATCCATGCAACTGTTCCCATCTAGACAAAACCTATGTGGGGAGTTCACTGGGTTTGGCATCCTAGAGGGGTTGCTGGGTTATTCCAGCCTCACAGTAACTCGTATCCATCACCATAAAGAGGGGCTGCACAGGGCCAGCCACACATACCTGGGAGGGCATCACCTCTGCATTGGTGCCACAGATCTTCACCCCTGCGTAGAGACATGCCTTGTAGTGGGACTCCACGATGTCACGCCCATACACCTTGTCTGCTCCAACCCCACAGTAATAGGGACCTGGAAAGGGAGAAGGAGTCACCACCAAAGTAAAGCTTTTGGCACCACCAGCAGCACCACAGCGTAATCCCACAGCTCCCAGGTACCAGCCACCATCTGCAGGGGGTTTATGGGAATTAAACAGTGTTTTCCTCCACGGTGCATCAAGCCCCTGACCCCTACTCCAGGAGTGTGAGCAATTCATCTCTGCAACCTCAGCCTTATCTAAGGCAGTTAAACAGGAATTGTAAAGCATCAACCGGGAGGTGGCTGGGAGATAAGGGCAGCCTGGTCTGCCCCGCAGCACTCCGGACCCTCTGAGCACATCAAGCAGCCGAGATTGTTTTGACAAGAGCCGGCACTGTTCATGGCTGTGGTTTTGTGCAGCTCCTCAAGCAGGTCAGGCCCAGATCTCCTCCCCGCCTGCGGCAAGGGAGATGTTGAAAGCAGCCGGTCCCCACAACAGGCTGATGATGCGGGTTGGGAAACCCCTGGCCCTGGCCCAGGCGGCAGCAGAGGCAATGGGGCTCGCTCCGGAGGGCTCCATGAGCCGGCCCTTTCCCAGCAGCCACGGCAGGAGTTGGCTTTCCCAGCCCTTGCCAAACAAGTGGTGCCGCTGGGCTGAGCTGTTTGTGCTCCACGGGGAGCCCGGCTGCTGCACGGCTCACGGGAGCTGAGGGCTCCCTGCAAACGGCTCCTAACCCCATCCCTTGCCAGCCACCACGGGGAAGCTGCACCGAGGATGGTGATGGGATGCTCACAGCCAGGGAGCAGGGTGGGAGCCAAGGGGAGCGCAGGGGTTGGGGAAGGGATGAACACTTACCCTGTGGGCCGGGGAAGCCGTTGTCGGGCCAGCCATAGGGGTGGCCGTTGATGCCCAGCAGTGTGTACTCCTGCTCCATCCCAAACCAGGGGTGGCTGTCCTTAACCAAGTCCATGATCTTCTTGCATGTGTGTCTCAGGTTGGTCTCTGGGAGCACAGAGGGCTGGGTTAGACCTGTGCTGTGGGCAGGCACACACCATGCTCTGCTCCATCCTACCTCACTCCACCACTGCCAAGTGCTTCTCACAGAAGCCTTAAGAGAACCAGTGAGGAAATCCCCTCTTCCTGCAAAGCTCCCTGCTCACCCAGCCCCTTCTTGCAGAGCTACTCCATCACCACAGCATCAGGCCACAGGCTGAGAGTGTGTAATTAGCCTGCTCCCCAAACCACCACCAGTGGTCCATGAACATCCTCCCCTTCTCACACACCAAGAGATCAGGAGCTATCCCCCAGCCCTGTCCTACAGGTATCTAGCAGATCTGGGAACAGGGATTATACATCTCCCATCACTACTTCACCCCCAGCTTCATCATCCTTCTCTTTCTCCAGCTCCAGGCTGGCTGGTGGAGTTCAGGGCAATCAGAGCTTTGCCAGGAAAGACACAGATAGCAGAGAACCATCCTAACACGGGACAACATGCCAGGATAGGGGAATGAGGACTCGGATCAAAACTGCAGCCTCCAGGCTGCAAATTCTGCCTTTAAATCACAGTAAAAGACCCCAAAGCAGATACAACACATGCCCATAGCGTGGGGCTGGAGAAGAGCAGCGACATCCCCCTTGCACTGATGGGAGAAGGGGGAAGGAAGTTATCACCTACCCAGAGCCCACAGAGTCCTTAATGCCCATGGAGACCCCCCTGGGAAGAGGTTGGTGCATCCCTTATCTGTGTGGCTCTGGGTTCAGCTCCTGCCTTGGCTGCAGCCCCAGGAGCTCCAGGGCCTGGGGGTCTCTTTACAAAGAGCTGCCATGGAGGAGCTGCCGGGCAGGAATCTCAGCCAAGGCTGTTCCCCCCTGGCCAAAAGCCGTGGTGCTGTCTGAGGAGGGACCAGCTCTGTGTTTCACCATCACTGCCCGCAGCCTCTCCTCTGCATCACCCCGCAGATGCCGTCTCCCCCCCTGATGCACCCAGCACGGACATGGCCCCGCTTCACTGGTAAATAACCGGTCGGTTGCTGACAGAACCCCCTCTGGGAGCCCCTCAGCACGTCCCTGTGCACCGTCTGCCTGTCCTGTCTGGGGCTTTATCAGAGGAACAGGACAGACACTGGGACTGCCGGCTTCTGCCTGCGGTGATAAGAGACCAAGAGCCAGCGCGCTCCGGGGCTGCTTGCGAAAGGTCAGCACCTTCTGCCTCCTTCTCTACAGCCGCCCATCAGCAAGGACAGCAGCCACAAACCCGGCACTTTAAAACTCCCATTGCTCCCCGGTTAACCCCAGCCCCAGAGCGGGATGTGCTCGGGCTCAAAAGCCAGGTGACGCCTTCAGCACACTTGAGCTGGCAAGCACCATGAGCTCCACAGCGCACTGCTCTTCTCCTCGCCCTACACCTCCAGAACAGGTTCCTGCAAGCAACCGCCACCACAGCACTTGAATTTCAGAGCCTCAGGCCAAGCTCCCAGTGCTGAGCTGCTCCCCAGGACCAGCGGTGCAGAGCGAGCAGCTCCTCGGGGGGATGGCACCCTAAACAGTAAGTGGGTGAGCCGGGGTGCGCGCTGGAGGTGCTCACCTGCGGGTTTCCTGTTGTACTTCAGCACTTCGCAGAGCACCAGCTTGTTGGGGTCCAGGCAGAAAGGGTCCCTGAACATGCGGACGGGCACCAGGAACATGTCGCTGTTGGAGCCCTCTGCCTGTGCCGTGCTGGAGCCATCGAAATTCCACTCAGGGACGTCTACGAGGCAGGAGGGAGACAGAGAGAGGAGTGGGATTGTGAAAAGGTATCACACATACGGACTGTGCCAAGTGGTGGTGGCTCAGACCCAGGGTGGAGAACCCAGAGGGCACTGGGTGCTGTGGGATGATGATGGCCAAAGGGTTTTCCTGCCCAGCAGTGCTCCTAAGCATCGGTGTGTTCACCCCCCCCCCCAGCACAACCAGGGGACAGGCAGGATCAGCCTCAGCCGCTTCACCTCCCTCCACCAAACCCCATCCAGATGCTGACACATCTCCATGCCTGTTTCCCTGGTGGAGAGGGGTGAGGACCTCATCATCCCCTTCCCACCCAGCGCTACTGGCACAGATTAAGCAAACCACAGCAACACACTAGATAGAACCCCATGAGACAACTGAAGTGGGTATCACCAGTGCCACACAACCAGGGAGAGCAAGTGCCAGCTCTCAGTGCCCCGAGCACCCCAGAACTTTTCCCCAGCCCAGAGGGACAAGCAGCGGCCTTACCTTCGATGCTCTTGGGCTCCTTGTCGAGGGTCCTGCTCTTGCAGCGCACGCCCTCGCCGCTGCCGTCGATCCAGACGTAGGTGACCTGCACCAGCCCGTCCTGGGGCAGCCGCACGTACTGCTCCCGCACCAGCTTGTTCAGCCTGGAGCTGTGCGACACCGACATGGCGACGGCCCTGCGGGAGCGTCCAGGTGAGCGCGGCATCACCCCCGCCCCGGCCCCACCCGTTAAAGAGCCTCCAAACCAACCCCCGAAACGAGCCCAGCACCCCCCCACCGAGCATCCCCCCGCGGGGATCGAACCCGCAGCCCCGCCGCTCACCGGCCCCAGCGCTGCCCACGCCCGCGCCCGCCGCGCTTTATAAGCACCCGCGGCCCGAGGCGAAGGGGGCGGGTGCGGCTCCGCCCCGGGAGGCTGCGGCACCGCAGGGGGACCCCGGGAGCAGCGTTCGGTGTTCGCTGGGCTTCCCATCCAAACACGGGAAACAGCGGGAAAACTGCCCTGGGAGGGTGCTGGGGCACTGGGTGCACAGAGAAGCTGTGGCTGCCCCATCCCTGGCAGTGTTCAAGGCCAGGTTGGACACAGGGGCTTGGAGCAAGCTGCTCCAGTGGAAGGGGTCCCTGCCCGTGGCAGGGGTTGGAGCTGGGTGAGCTTTAAGGTCCCTTCAACCCAAACCAGGCTGGGATTCTTTGATTGCTTATTAGAGCACTAACTAGCCCATGGTGAAAATCTCTATTCAAGTTCTTGGCTAATAACTTGTTATTTATAAAACATCGTGTATTATTCAGTGAGAATATAATTTACAGCCTCCTGCTCCCTCACTGCCTCATCCCCGCTCCTGGCACATTGTTTTTGTAGGGTCAGCTCCTGCATGCCAGTGGGGCTCTGCCTGGTGAGGCTGGCTCAGTGCATGCCCCCCTTGAAAGTCCCCCAAAAGCCTCAACGGGCCTATGCCCTGTGGAGTGCGATGCCTCGGGGTGGAGGAAGGTGTCTGGTGGCCCTGGGGACAGAGGCATCCACATCCCTAGGCCATGGGCACCCAGATCCATGGGGACAGCGGCAATTGCGTCCCTGGGGATGTGGGTATCCACATCCCTGGGCACAGGGATAACCACGTCCTTGGCAGCCCTACCACCACCCATATCCCCCTTACCCAACCCTGGACACCCCCAGGACAACTCCTGCCCACCCGCTCCAGCCCCTCACTGCTGCAGGGCTGCATTTGCCTCCTGGGTGCCTGTGCTTTGGAAGAACAAGAAACACAGGAGCAGAAATCACCCTTGCTACCGTACAGCGTTGAGCTAAAGTACAACTTTCACATTTGTAAGCACTGGGACACAGTTAAGTACCCTGAAAACCAAATGCTCTCCATGCTCAGCAATGGCTCTGGTCTGGTTTCCACTCAATACCCCTCAGCCGGGAATTGAAAGGGGTTATTTCAATCCAGCCCCAACGTGCAGCTCTGCGGCCGGTCCCAAAGCTCCCTCGGGTTAAACGGGGCGCTGCCTGCCCCGGTTTCCATCGGTGCGCCCCGGGGCTCGCTGCCTTTGGAGCAGAGGGATCCGCACCGCGCCCGCGCACAGCCCAGCGCAGCGCAAACACCCGGCGCCTCCCGGCTGTTATCACAGAGACCGCGGTGTTTTCCTTGTGGGAGGAGGGCAGGAGCCAAACAACCCCCAGCAAACGCGGCCGGGTGAGCGCACCGCGACCCTTCAGCCTCGGCCCGGGAGCGGTTTCCCAACGCTGCAGATGAGAAAGGGCTTTAAAGCAGAACCAGGCTCTGCGTTTTGCTGATTCCCCTGCTCCTTGAGGCAGACTCATGCTTGTGGCTGCCTGACTCACCCCCAGGAATGCTTTTCTGCAAAACACTGAAACATCTGCATCGGAGCAGTGCACAAATCCCCTTGACAGTCAATGTCCCCCCATCAGGACACCTCCTTGCTAGGCACAGACCCACAAACTGCCCCCATTGCACCTCCTCCCTGGGCGCTGACCCCAAACCTCCACCCCTGTTTTCCTTCTGAAGGTGTTTTGGTCCCACAGGCGGATAAAGAACCAGGAAGAAACCTGAAAGCATCTGGGATTGCACAAGAACCAGGAAATGAGATTGGCAGAGAGAGAAGCAAAACTTAATGAGCAATTTTGGTCCCCGGGTGCTGACATCAGTGGCAGTGGGCTGTGGGCAGGCTGGACGTCACCGTCACCATCACCAGCCCCTCTGCCCCTGCTGCTGCCTCCAGCTCTTGTGCCAAGGAGGTGGCACCCAGGGACGTGCCCGAGGGTCCCCAGAGCAGCAGTGGCAGAGCCATGTGTGTCTCCTCTGTGTCACCCTTGTGCCACCCAGGGCTCCTGTAGCTGGAGCTGGGGTGCAGCTCAGAAACAGCCACCTCCCTCCCTGGGGTATTTTAGGGACACATCCATGAATGCGGTTGCAGAGCTCACTGTTTCCTCATTCCTGTTTGGAAATCATCCCAGCACACGAGGAAGCGTACCCCTGGGTGTGCAGCCCAGCAGCAGCGCTTCCCAGAGCCGTTGCAACACGAGGGATGGAGCATCAGCAGCTCTGCCGGGTTCCTTGGCCTGATGCACACATCCCTGTCCTGCTGGAGCGCATGGGACTGGCCTCAGGGCTGGTGGAGCAGTGCTGATGGTGAGCTTTCATGGAAAGCAGGAAGGATGGAGATGGACCTGCATCCCCTGGGGAGCATCACAAACCCAACCCAGGGAGAACTGAGCCATCTCTCTGGGGCCTGATGGGTTCCATCCTCCCAGCAGACAGCAGGACCAGCACCAGTGTGTTCATGTGAGATGCCAGGGTTCACATCCCTAAGCTGGGTATTGGAGAGCCTCTTTTTATTGCCAGTGAAAGCCCCAGTTTCCCTCCTGGAATCACCCAGCTGGGCGGAAACACCCCAAAGCATGAGCGGGCTCAAACCCATGGAGAAACCAAGCAAGCTTCAGGCTGTGTTAACACTCACAGGTAACTGGGTTGGGGAGCAGAGCTCCTCTTTGAATGACTGAAACCACTGAGCACCAGTGTACCCAAATGGGGAAGCCAGAGCAAACATGATAAATCCCTCACCCGGTCAAAGCCCATCCGGCTCCAGGACGACAAACACGGGCTGTTTATGGCTGTTTGGGGAGCAGCCCGTGGGTGCATGGCCACATCCCATCCCTGCCCCAGCCCTGCAGCCGAGCAGCTCACCAGGCATGTGCTTGATGCCAAATTGTTTCATGTCAAGAGGGATTTCAGTGAGCACAAAAGGATTTCTGCCATGGAGTGCTGGGCATCTGCTCATTCAGGTTTTCTTGGGATCAGGTCTTGCCTCTCCTCAGTTTAATTCCAGCCGTTTCTATAGCATCACCTCTATGTTACACCAGTAACACCGGACACAATCCACGCCTAGATCCTTGAGCTCCTGAACAACATCTCATCCCCCAAGCCAGCCCGTGCTCTGCAATCAGCAGGTTCCTGCCCGCTCCCCTCAGCACCAGGTACAGTAAATATTAACCACCACAAGGCATCCGACTCGGAATCAGTGACTGGCCCAAGGTCAGCAGCCGGAGGAGCTGGAGGCAGAAGGGAGCAGTGATGTCCTTGTAGGAGTAAAAGGTGACACATTAAATCTCCAGAGGCCTTTGCTGGAGTTCATTCAGAGCTGTAACACAGCACTGGAGATAGCAAATGGCAGGAAGAGAAGCTGATTCTGCTTCATTGCTGCAGCACAGCCCAAACATCACCTCCACCACAGCAATGGAGATGCCATCCAGTGCCCACCGGGATCACCCAGCAGTTGCAGATGATGCTGCAGGATGCAGCAGGGCTGTTCCCTCTCCCAGCACTGTTGTTTGGGGTGATGACCATGGACCTGCAGCCAGTGATGCCCACAGAGCTCTCCGGGGGAGAACTGGCCAAGGCCTAAACACTCTCAGTTCTTATCTCTCTGACTTTGAGACTTTATCAGCCCAAGTGTTCTCCAGCCGTGCCAGAATACACCAAAGATGTTATTAAAGCCTTTGCTTTAATAGGAATAATAAAAGCCTTAGGAAATTTGCCAGGTTGGAACACTTTAGTAATACAACACTCTTTACCAAGAAAGGGTTAAATAGGGGCTAACTTACCTGCTGTGGTTCAACAGGGATTAACTTGCCTCCTGGGGTGACTTTTAACACCTTCACCCCAGCTACAACAAGGCAGAGATGGAGCTGGGGACCCTGCAGCCTTGGCTGTCAGATCCCTCCCCACACCAGCCTGGAGGCATCACTGGGAGGATCATCCCTGGGCCCAGCACAAAGCAGAGCTGCTGGGATGCAGAGCTTGTGTCCTGCTCCAGATCACCCTGCAGGGCTCAGGATGTGGCTCAGAGCCGAGGTTGTTAAAGCCCAGGAGCATCCCCCGGAGCCCTGGACCACGGAGCCCGGGCAGGAGCGTTTCCTCTCATAGGTTCAATGGGATCAGCCCGTGTCTGTGTCCTGCCCAGGCTGTTTGGTGGCGAGATTAGAGGGGAGGCAAAGAGCAGGGTCGGTGCAAACACCATAAAGGGATTAGAGAGGCCGAGGGGAGCGGGGGGGATGTTCCTGAGCGCTGCTGGGAGGAGGCAGTTTCAGAGCTGAGGAAACGCTGTGAAGAAAGGGCCTGTGGGGCAGCAGCTCGGAGGTGAGGGGCTGGGGGTGCTGCTGGGCACTGGGGTGCAGCAGGGGAGGACCAAGGGGGGGCAGGTCAGTGCTGGAGCAGAGAGCACCCAGCCCTGTGCTCAGGGAGGGCTGTGCTGGCGTTTCCCTGTCCCCAGTACACCCTCACTTTTACACCTTTCCTACAAAACAGCTGATCTGACAGCTTCCCTTTACAGTTGAGACATATTTAAGCAACAGCAAATCTCCTTATGTCTACATGTTTGCACCCAAACCACTTCCTCTTCATTCAAAGAGAATGATAGATCTTTTTATGTACATACACACACACATATGTCATAAAATCATAGATAATCCCAGCCTGGTGTGGGTTGCAAGGGACCTGAAAGCTCCTCCAGCTCCATCCCCTGCCACGGGGCTGCTCCTACCCCGAGGGGAGCCCAGGAGACCCCAGACCCTGATTTTCCTCCTCTGCTCCCCCTGGCTCAGCTGGGTGGGGAGGATGCTTCCCCCCCACTCCTCTTCCCAGCCTCCCCTGTGCAACATGGGAATAACACCTTGAAACAGCTCCT